ATTTTTAAAATAATGTCGATCTTATCTACTATTCAATTATCAAATTTTTCTATTCCTATGCCACAAAGTCAAGCAACCAATAATAATCTCCCACGACCTTACCTACGTAACTACGTAACTAACGCACATACAGTATCGCCATCATTATTTTCACAGCCAGAAAAATTAAGGTTCGCCAACGAAATGTATGAGGTTTGCGGCGAACTCGCACTGATTGACTCAACGCGCAAACAATACATACGCACTCTTTCACAAGATTGAAAAAGAAAAAGGAGATAATAAAAGAAAGAAAGAAAACAGAGTGGTAATCATCATCCTTCCGGTCTGGCGATAAATCGCTCGTAGCTCGCGTATAAACGATTTAGCATAATGCAGGAGATAGAGAAAGAAAGAAAGAAAGAAAGAAAGAAAGAAAGAAAGAACGAAAGAACGAAAGAAAGGAAGAAAGAAAAAAATAAATATAAATATATATATATATATAGGAGAGCGGTGAAGCCCCCTTCACTCCGGCGAGGAGAGAAAGAGGAAGAGAAAGAGCATGAAGCATCTGCTGCCGCTGATGCTGTGGTTAGTCATCCATTACCAAGCGGTTATATGGCTCGAGTTACACTTATATATATTGATGTACTCGCGATATCTACACTCTCGCAGGCCTCCGATCAACTTTGGCTAGCCACAGCAACTCTGAAAATTTTACTCGAAATGTAAGCCAGTGCTGCTTCGACATTGATATCGCTTTCTTCCTATTTATGATTTTTCTTTGACACTCGTATGTTTTGTGTTTTCGACCGCTCAGGCTTGAAGTTATTCAAAGACAAAGAAAATAAGAAATCATCGGTAATTCCAAACGCAATTTACACATGTGTACACACTGGGTTCAAGTATCAATGCTGTCATTCGTCTCGTTTAAAACTATTTAAAACATTGGAAATTATTATTAAGAAAGTATTGTTTTATAATAATTGTTATTTCAACGTCGTTATTCATACAAAATAAGTACTTGCAAGACGATAAAATCAAGTAATTACGAATTTTATCGTTTTCAATGAATATACGATAATTACTATTATTACCTATGCATTCTATCATATTAATTGTTCATTAATAATCGACTTTAAAAACAAAATTTATTCACTATGTGACATTCACTATATCAAATTCAATGATACATAATAATGGAAGAATATTATATTATGAAATATTCTACAAAATTTTATCATTAATGTAATTCTAACAGTGTATTACATTAAAAATTTTTAAGATTTAATTGATATACTTATTAATACATTATTTTTTTTTAATTAAATACTTTATGATTATTTTATACTAAGATCAGAATGATGAATACGATAGTGGAAAAATAATTATTAATTCAAATATAATTAATTAAGTAAAAAAAAAATAAAAATAAAAATTAATACAATGAGTTTGTTTTAAGGTCTCATAATATGAATTTTAATAAATTTTAATAAAACTATTTAATATTTAAAATAGATTGTCTCATATAAATACTCTTTTATTTTTCATTTTACAAATAAATGATTTTATAATTACACGTTTATATATATATATATATATATATATTTCTTACGTAACGAATGAAAATTATGTTTATAATATTATTGGTTACGTTGCTACAAGATCATCTATACGATTAATTTTAATTACCATTCTCTGCTCGCACGTACAAAATAGACATAAATTCAAGTGTTCGTAATATTTTGAAGGCATTAAAAAACATAAATATTTAATATTCAATAATTTATATTAATTTTAATTTTACATATCAATATTAGTTTTAATTATTTATTTAAATAACATTAAAAATATGTTACAATTTAGCAGACATAAGTAATAATTTAATAGCCATAAATAAAATGTTGCATTTTATGATAAGATATTTTATATGGAAATAAAGAAGTTAAATTAGAATATAATCAATTCATTTGATTAAAATAAAAAATTAATTAATTAATCAATTTATACAAGAATTTATGTAAACTTCAGTTGAATACTGCTGTTAAATAAAATATTGAATTTTAAAAGTTTTTTCCACCATTTGAGTTAATTACGTATACACTTCTAACAAGAAAAATACTATAGAATAAATAGTATAGGATATAAGAATATTCAATTTTTATTTTTATTTTATTAAAGTATTTAATTTACTTCATTACGTTTATTCATTCTAACAAATATCTTTTTATAACATTTTTCAAATATAAATACGATAAAGTTATATAAAAACTTATTTTATTCGTATACAAATATTTATTTGCAGTTTTCTAGCTGCAAAAAATTCATTTCTATTATAAACCTTATTGATAAAAGATATCAAAATTGAAAATAGTTACAATCAATAATAATAACAATCATTTATATTATAAATAAATATTATTTATCACTTGCTGACGATTACATTATTTAAAAAAATATTTTTTGTGTATTAATTAAAAATACTGCACAATGAAATAAAAGAATATGTTATATCAAGTAATACATTAAAAATGTTATTGGGAAATAAAAGAATTATATAATTTGCATTAAAGGAGTTGTAATATAAAATTTATAATGATTTGTATTTGCAAGCAAACATAATATATTTATTACAAAATTGATTATGTAATTTGTGGAATCAAAAATATAGAATAATTAGCATAATACATGTGCGTGCTCAAACGCACGAACGCATATATATATATATATATATATATATATATATATATGTATATAAGTATACACTCATACATGCATATATATATATATATATATATATATATATATATGAATGTATATGCATGTGTACGCTCGTGTGTGGGTGTGCGTATTTATGCGTACACTATATGTACATTCATTAATCTATTAAAAATCAAGTTTTCTTATCTTTCATTATATTGCACACAGACAATTTAAATATAAAAAATATTTAACTTTTTTACTTTATGTATTTTATACGTTACAAGCCTATTATAATAATAATAATTATTACTATTATTATTATTAGTAGTAGAAATAGATTAGATTGAATTTGTCTAATCGCTATTTAGAAAAGAAAATTTTACCACAATCGTAATTACCTTATAATATGACAGAAATTAAAGTATCTGGAAATTTTTATTAATGACATTATTTCGAGTAACATCAACATAAATTATTCTCTTATTATCTACATATACTAACCCCCTAATATTAATGTTTAAATATATAAGAAATTTATTTATAAATTCTTAACTTGAGGGTTATGTATTAGGATAAAAATTTCGTAATCTCATTATCATTGTTAAACGTAAGAAAATTTTTTCAAATTGTCTTATCTATATTTTCATACTTGAGTACATATATTATGCTAATTATTTTTCCATATTTTTATTCCACATATTACACAGTCAATTTTTAATAAATATATGTTTGCTTGTAAATACAAATCATTCCGCATTTTATATTGCAACTCCTTTAATGTCAGTTATATTATTTTTTAAATTCACAATAATGTTTTTAATGCAATCATTACCTCATAAAACTTATTATTAATTCAATTTATTGTATAGTATTTTTAATTAATATAAAATAAATGTGTTTTTAGATAACGTAATTAATTTGTCAGCAATGACAAATAATATTCATTTATAATATAAAAGATTGTTATTGATTGTAATTATTTTCTATTTGGATGTCTGTTTTCAATAACGTTTATAATAGGCATGAATTTTTATTAATAAATATATATACTTTTTAAATGATTCATAAATTTATATTGTATTATAATTATAATATTAAAATTTAATCTGAAGTTTTGACATTCAGTTTAATAAATGCTTTTTTCTACTTCGTTTATTATTTTATTTATTTTTTTTTTTGTATGTACTCAGTGCATAGATAATATAGCAAAAATAGAAGTTACGGTGCTGTCTGCGTAACTAGCTTATGCATGTGTGTGAATATCCAAAAAGTTTTTCTGCCTTGATACTTGTGGCTATTTAAAGAAAATATTTTACTCATACCTTATATGAATAAAAAAAAAAAAAAAAAAAAAAAAAAAAAAAAAAACATTAAATATACAAGATTAAGTAGTTAATATTCTACTTAGTATAATTTTCAACCTGACTAAGTATCTATATAAGTATATTTATATACACTATGACATGACTGTTTTAACATTTTATCAATCTCATATTTTCTTTTCTTATTTGCATTTGAATCAACTACTAGTATAAATTTTCTTAATTCAAAGTATTCATAAAGTAATTAAATAATCATAATTTATTATTTAACATTATAATTAATGATTATTGAAATATGAAATAATATGTAATAATAATTTTGTAATAATTTTTGATAAAAATTCATGCACACCATATTTTTGTCATAAATTTTTTCCGTATTTCTTTTTATACTACTTATTTTGTGAAGAGACCTTCAAAGCTTATGTACATATAAATAATACTAGACTTTTAATTAAAAAATTCTTTTAAATATGTATTTTAGTAATTTTACGTTAAAGTTATAAATAACTAATTAGTATATGTAATATATACATATATATGTATGTATGTATGTATGTATATTAAACTTAAATTAGAAAACAAAATTAATATGTTTTTAAAATTGATCGTCAACAATCTCTTGAGAAATATATTTAAGACCGATTATTTGATTAGCTGTTTATATAGCAACTGTATAATCTATTTGAAAATAATTACATTTTTTTGTTATAATATTAGCAATGTACATCTAAAATAAAAAAAATTAAACAATAAATATTTTTCTTCAAAGTTTCAATTTAATTTTGAGGCTTTTATATTCGCATATCGAATGTTGCTAATTCAAAGTAGAATAATATCACACTTCCGTCAAGTATAAACACTAGATGATAAGAAGCTTTTTAATAAAAGAAGCATTACATTTATTAATTAATAATATAAACAAATGTTAAAATATAGGAAGTGTAAAATAAATATAAATCTAGCATTCACTTTCATTCGTTCATGAATACGCCTTTATTGACAGAATTCTTTTCCAGAATATTTACGTTGTATCTCAATATACAAAATTGTCTAATACTCCGATGAATACACTATACACTTCTTCATTTCAGTGTCTCTTTCTCTTGTTCCTATTTAGTTATCCAACTATTGTTTTCCTAGTTTGTTTCCGATTTATGTACAGTCAGATATTCATTGATATCGATATTTTCATTCATCCGGCGCTGTTGCGATCTCATTCATTTTATTCTGTTTCCTTCTTTTCGTCTATTTTTTTCAGCAGTTGTCGTTTCTTCTCTTCTCCATTGCACTTGTTAAAAAAAAAAAGTATCATTCTCAATGGCAACAGAATGGCGCTTACTTAAATTCTAAACTTCTTCCAATTTTTTGTTCTATTTTAGTTTTGTTTATTTAATTTATCGTGTGTACTTTTGCTAAGTTATACGGCATGTATAACTAGTCGTGTCAATTCTTCTTACGTAATTGCTTACGTAGTAAACTTGAAAAATTACTCGGTTGCCAATATTTTCAGCTGCTCGTTTAACGTTTGAATTTCGAGAAAAGAAAAAAGATAATATAAAATAAGAGAGATTTAATGAGAAAGAAAAAGTTAGTAGTTAGTAGTTATTAGATATTCATATTTCGAATTGAGCCTTTACGTATGCATTGATACGAAATAGTATAATTCAGCTCCTCGTTAAATTCATACAACATTTTAGGTGCCATTGCTGTTATTTCAGTGCCTTCATGATTATGTATAAATAAATAGAACAGTCTAAGAAGGCATTTAAAGGCTTGTATAACATCTTACGATGCGAAGATTACTAATTATTATTAATAATTTTAATTTTAAAAGTGCATGTAAATTGGCGACTCTCCTTATTTGGAAGCTAATGGAATTGAATTGAATTACACGATGAGTAATTGTAAAATTATGTCCGTTCAAATGCGCATTGAATTGTCGAGGAAAAACGTTAAACAGTTGAAGTACTGTTTTTTTCAGTCACCGAAACGAGGTATCTTGTTTATACAATACTGGGAAATTTACACCGAGATAATTATTTTCTTACTATAGCATACACATCGTAACTCCTTTGTTCCTTTTTAATACGCTTTAAAAAGAAGAGAGAGAGAGAGAGAGAAGAGATGAAAGAATGAAAGAATGAAAGAAAGAAACGAAAGAAACGAAAGGAGGAAGAAGGAGAAAAAAAAAAATTAAAATTATAAATGTTGCACAATTTACGATCTACGGCATACCGTAAAAGGTAAATAAGCAAGTAGAATAATTCATAAAATTCATTGATCATATAATTTCCTTAAAGATCCGTTAGGAAAATAAAATTACAACGATGAATTGGTCACGAGCGATGACTAAAATGTGATTTGGGGAGGGGTGGGGTGGGGTAGGTTGGACTGAATATGGGGGGGGGGGGGGGGGGGGGAGAGGAGAGAAGGGGCAGCCGCTGTATTATAGTGGGCCAGCAAAAAACCCTCCGCATGGAAAAAGGGAAAAGAAAAGATAAAAGGCCGAGCTACGATCAAAACGATTGATTTCATAACTTGGACGTGCGGCTCGGTTGAAAACGCGGTCAGGGCGACTTTTGTCGACGACTGTATTCGCTCCCGACTAATTCTCCCGATTAGAATTTCAGCGCAGCACTAATGCGTAAGGCGGGTGCTCGTACGTGTACAGTCAGGCGCGAAAGTCACGGATAGTTATTTTCTTTAAACCCCACCCCTTCGGCCATAAGTTATCGCTTCACCCCACACCCCACTTTACTTTCTCTTTCCAACCTCGTCGCAAAGGCGCATCGGGCAAAGTCACTCGCAGCCATCAGGGACCTTCGTAGATTGACGTCCGCTTCACCTGTCTGACCCCGATCGAACATATGAATCGTACTCCTCCACCTGCAGGTTTCAAAATTTCCTTTTTAAATTTATCGGAGCGTGCGCGTAGTCTTCCCGTAATCATAGATAGCACAAACACTAAACCTCACTTACATTACATTGTAATGATTAGTATTAGTATTACTGCATACAAACTAATGCAGTGGCTTTGAAATCCTTTGTGAAATTTATACACAGCTATAATGACATTTTTTATCTTTTTTGTTTCAGTCAGATTTACATTATGACGTGTACAGTTTGCCGATAGATTAAGTGTCAGCTTAAATAAATGATTAAATTCGCGTAAAGACACAGGCTAATGCCCACAATGCCCACTTTCTCTTGGGTTATACAATAATTAATAAATCGAGTCGTTTATCAGTTATTTAGTCAATTAGTATTAAGTGTAGAAATGCGAGTAATAAAATTATAAAAATTATTTTAAACAAAAACTGTTAATTAAAGACAAAGAAACCATATTATGTTTATTTTATTTGAAAAAAAAGACGTTATATCTCAGGAACCGTTTTTGTAAAAAAAAAAATCTCAGTTACCAAAGATGTACTGAAATTCTTATTTGAAAAATCAAGAATAATGTATCGTGCCCTTATATGTCTGAATGTTTTCCAAATCATTTTTAAAAGTAAAACGTGAATTCCTTTAAATTCAGAAAATAAATTTTAAAAAATAAGAAGCATTATAGTTTCGAAATTTTCTTAAAAATTAATTAACTATAAAACTTGTTATGCCAATTTTAAATAGTTTATTAATTTTCAATAATTGTTTTTATTTTCAATAGAAAAAGATTTTTAAATAACCAAGAAAAATAATTTATGTTATTAACTTAAAATGCTTCTTAAAATATCTAATAATTAATTTCTACATAGATTTATCACAATAATTATCAATAATATGATATTGAAGCTTATATTACACAAATTTAAATATTTCCGTTTGAATTTTAAATAATTCGATTTCATTTTACTCCAGCGCCACAAAGGCGCTAAAAATAATTTTTAACCTATTCATTTTAGTACGTAAAAATATATACATACTCATATACTATATATATATATATATCAATTATATATATATATGTATACTATAAATTTTAAATAATCATTTAATATTCTAAAATAAAAATAAAAAAAAAATATATATATATATATATATCTATATAAGAATAGGTTTACTAAGTTTGATATAAAGACAAAATATGATATAATCGTATTATCTATTTGTTCTTTTATTTTATAATATACTAACTTAGACATAATTAAAAAGTAAATATATATTATGTTCTGGCTTCATCTTTCTGAAGCTTATTTATACATAAGTCAAATTAGATATTAATTACTAATTATAAAACAAACTCAAGAAATATATTAGAAATAAAGTCACATTCTAACTAATGTATTCATCAAAAAATAAAAAGTAACCTAATCAAGTCTCGGCCATCATAAATAGAAATAATAACCAACTATTTATCAGTTATTATCGTGTTACACGCATGCGCATATTATGCTACACATCACGGACGGATACAACACCTACACACACTTGTGCATTATCATGCTTTCTTCTTCCCCTTACAGCTTCTACAACTGTACTAGCTTCCCGTATCGTATTCTTCTTGCATTTGCTTCTTCCTTTTCATCCTGCTTAACTTCGAAATATATAGATGTGTAGTACGGTTCTGTAGAATGACACTTGTTTTCCTCTCTCTCTCTCTCTCTCTCTCTCTCTCTCTCTCTCTCTCTCCTTTCACCCTAACGCCACTGTCCCACCCTTTCTCGCTCCCCCTCTCGCTCTCACCCTCTTTCACTCACTCTCTCACTCTCTCTCTCTCTCTCTCTCTCTCTCTCTCATTGCTTCGCTGTCTTTTCTTTCCCTTCCACGCTTTCTCACGATGCAATTTACTGAAAAGTGTGTGGAGGAAGAATGACAAAAGCTTGGAGGGAGAAACTACAGAAGTAAATTCTATTAGATACTATGAAGTACTGAGAGCAGCAAAGGATAATTAATACATTTAACTTTATTATTTTCTTATTATTATTCATTAATATTATTACACTTGTTATTACTATTGTTATTAATATTATTTATTTATTTATGTTGGTCTGATTATTATTATTTATTTTGTAAAAAAATTATTTATCCACGGAACTATTAATAACAAGAATATCGTGTTCTTTGTATTAAAATAAAAAAAAAAAAAATTGTGATGTATTTGTAAAGCAAACAAAAATTAACAAACAGTATATTAAAATAAATTATGATTTCTTTATGCTATCATTCTACATTTTATTTACAATAACTAAAATATATCAAATTTATTATTTACATGTTTACAAACTGTTTTACGTTAAACTCTTAAGTGTACAATTTAAAATTCGTTTTTGATATCAAATATAAAACGTGTAAATATATTTAGATTATTGCTTAAATGAATAGGCAACTCGATGTGTAATACATATTATGTTGTAAAGAATATTCTGATTTTAAATTGAAATTATATATTTAAAATAAGAAAGGAAATAATTTATGCTACATAGTAACAAAATTATTATTATATCGCTATGTTTAGTAAAAATTTTTAATTACCTTTTTAGCTTATAGATTAATTCTTAGTATATATAAACAAAATAATGTCGTTTTTCCAATTACAGAATTTGTATCGTGAAATTGATATTATTAATGTATTTTTATACTATTATTTTACATCGTATAAAATAAATAAACATACAATTGTATAATTAGTATTTCAATTTCAAAGAGACGTTGAAGTTTACAATGTAGCATTTGTCAAAAATGTTTAAGCAAATGAAGAATGATATTTTAAATAATAATTTAATTGAATTTTGTATATTTAAATATGTCTGCTTTACAAAGGTTTATAAATTTTATTCAATTTTATTGAAATCTTCATAATATTTATTTCATTTCAATTTAAATGATTTAAAATGCTAGAATATATTTTCTGGCGCGCGCGCCCATGTAAACGCATGCATAGACAGTTACGAACACAAGCATGCGCATATGAATGTAAGTGGGTGTGGCTTGAATAGAGCTATAGCATATATGTGGTTTTTTAAGACCGTGCTTATTCTATTTGATTAGGTAAAATCCTGTTTACTTACTGAGCCATTCGTTTATACACGATTTCAAATAGGGTATTCGATGTATACAAAATTTTTGTTCATCAAATTAAATTTAAGCATAGATAAATATCAATGTAAATTTACTATTACAAGTATATTTATCATTGCTGAAGCGTGTGCAATATATAATTATATATATATATATATTAAACAAATATTTATGAATACTTTTAAATATTTTTACACGCTTATATGATTTTTTTATTTTTATTTTATAATTGCTTTAATGTAAAAACATCTAAATAGTATATACAAAAATTAT